GGGGGGGCAGGCAGAGAGTTCAGCATCCTCACGGCCTGATGGACGGAGCTGTTCCACAGTCTGCTGGTCCTAGAACTGAGGCTACGCAGTCTCCGCCCTAATGGCAGCAGGTTGAAGAAGCAGTGTAGCGGGTGGTCAAGATCTCCCACCCAGCAGAGGGCTTTACTTCTGAGGCGAGAGCTGTGGAGGTCCTGAAGGCAGGGGAGAGAGGTGCCAATGATCTTCTCAGCTGTCCTCACGATCCGCTGGAGGGATTTGCGGCAGGATGCTGTGCAGGCCCCGTACCACACAGTGGAGCAGCTCATCAGGATGCTCTCGATGGCCCCCCTGTAGAAGGTTGTCATGATGGGGGTGGGGGCTCTCGCTCTTCTCAGCTTGCGGAGGAAGTAGAGCCGTTGGTGAGCCTTTTTGGCCACTGCTGCTGTGTTGATGGTCCAGGAGAGGTCCTCAGAGATGTGCACACCCAGGAACTTGGTGCTGCTCACCCTTTCCACAACAACACCGTTGATGGATAGTGGAGCATGTTTTGTCTGAGTTCTCCTGAAGTCCACAACAATCTCCTTGGTCTTCTCTGTGTTCAGCAAGAGATTGTTGCGTTTGCACCAGGAGACCAGCCGGCTCACCTCGCTCCTGTAGAGTGACTCATCGTTGTTGCTGATGAGGCCTACCACAGTCGTGTCGTCCGCAAACTTGATGAAGAGGTTGGAGGGGTGTGATGGAGAGCAGTCGTAGGTTAGTAGAGTGAACAGAAGGGGGCTCAGCACACATCCTTGTGGGGCCCCCGTGTTCAGAGTGATGATGCTAAAGCATGTGTGCATGGCAGAGTTTGTTAAACAATCAACTAGGTTCAGGTAGATAGGAACAGGTTAACGTGTTTATCTGAAATCACCGTGATGAAAACAACTTTTATGTTAAAGTCTAATCTGTCCTCTGGACTTTTAAGTCTTTGCGACAGGACCGTACATAAAACTGTGTTGCACAGCCGTTACAAAGTGTTGCCTGTCTTTAAAAGACTGTTTGTTTTGGATCCGAGGGACATAAACGCAGGTTGAAGTCTGTGTCGTTACCAAAGACCTGCTCTCTCACCGACATCAAGGCTTCATTGTAAAGAATCATGATGGTGACCTCCTGAGCCCTTTTATTGTTTGTTTCATCTCTTTGAAACGCGCTGCAGAGAGAGAATCCTGCAGCTCAGTCTTCTCGTTGTGTGAAATAACCAAATCATGATGATGATGAGGAGGAGGAATGTGGTCTGATGACCAACGGACATGGAAGGGAAGACTGGGACTTTCTACTTTTCTCCCTGTTCCTTTTGTCCTTGGAGCAAAATGACATCACGTTTGTGAGCGCAGCTGCCACATGTGCTGGTGCACGTTTTAAAAGTAGAACAGGTTAGTTTCTGATAAGAAAACAGAAATTGCTTCCAAGACTAGAGACCAACAGTTTTCTGCAGCCTTGCCGGCAGTAATACACAAAACAAGACGCACGTTGTTTGTAAATACTTCATGTGGCCCTTTATGGTCATAAAATGTGAACACTTTAACGTTCAGGATCATCCAGGGTTTATGTGTCATAAATCTACTTGTCATTGTGGTTTTCACATCTGGAACTGAACAGGACTGCAGCTTATGAAAAACATGCGGCCTCAGCTCTCCTCGTTCTTTTTAAGTCGACACTGTTGACAAAAACCTTCAAGTTCTATCCATGCCCCCCCCCCCCCCGGACGAAAAGGCAACAGCATGACCAGTGTTCATGCATGCAATGAGATGAATGCTGATTCCTATCGTTCATGTGCGCACGTGTTTAGCCAGTGAATCCTGACAGAGCTTCACGAACACCACGGTTTGAAGACGGGAGCAGTTCCAGACCTCCAGGGCTGAGGGGGGAAATGTTGCCTGTCAGGATCTGGTTCATTCAGAACATTTTAAAACTATTGTTGCTTTCAAGAATCCAGATTTTCTTGCATCTTTTTGGAGCAATCTTGGGGGGAAAAAAACAAAAACAGCCAAAGATCAAATAAGTACCATTTATCTTTACTTATAAGTCGCGTCGTCACCGCTGACGACCCGGAAACGTGGCCGGTGTTGTGCCAGAAATCGACTGGCTGCAGCCGCAGGAGCGTGCACAGGAGGACTTTAAGAAGAATTTAACAAGATTAACGCTTAAAAACAATTATTTGTTTGAAATTATAGTAAAGGTGCGTCTCAGTCTAACTTTTCCTTAATAAATGCACTTTGACGGTCAAATCAGCTGCATCTCATAAGTATTCGCTGCCTCGGGGCTCCGGGGAGGAACGCTGCACATTTCTTTGAAAATTAACAAGCACCTAAAACAATTATTTGTTGCTCGACATTATAGTAAAGGTGTGTCTCAGTTGAACTTTTATTTAATAAATGCGCGTTAATGGTCAAATTAGCTGCATTTTGCCAGGGAGGTGCAGCGGAATGAAATAAAATGAAAGCATGGAGTTGGACGAAAGTGGTAACTTGGGCAAGCTGTTTATGTCATTAATAGCAACTTTTACCTATAACATGACAT